TGTGTGAACATACAATCATGTATTGTATGCATAGTTTGGCAGAAATTGTAATAATGTGTATTTGGTAGACTAACTAAATAGATTATGTGGTATAGTCAGTGATACTACATTAAGAATTTTCATGATTATAGACGTACATTGTGTCGTACCAATCTTTCACTACATCCAACTTTCCAATTTAACGCAAATGAAAATACAATTATTCAAATCAATGGTGGCTTCTATTAAAGGCGCAGTTCAGCTTTTTGAATGATAGTTTTTAAGAAGCATTTCAGACCTTGTAATTGAAAAAACTAACTACGAAATCGGAATATCAATTATTAATAATCATAATTCAAGGCAAACTTAACGTTTTTATCATTTTAAAACGTTTTTATATTTAATAACATTGAGCTTGCTGATCTTGGATTATGTTTAATTGAGTTTCCTAAATTTCTAGTTAGTTTTTTCAAATAAAAGGGGGATGAAATGCGCCTTAAAAAACATCATTTAAAAGGCTAAAGTGTATCTTTAAAGTGCATATGACATGAAATTTCTCATTTTCTTAAACGAAAGAACTCTTTAAGCTCTAGTGTAGCCTAACTTATTTTTCTGTTTCGTGTTTTTATGGTTTGTTCTCGTGATATTTCAATTTGTTTGATATGTAAATGAGTGTGAATATGTTCGCTAATTTATGACGTCATGTTGGTTGCAAGCTCAACTTACACTGCTTATAAATCTATTACCTCTAAAAACTGTAGACATCTGTTCACGTTTTTCTACAGTGTTTCATCACATTTACCAGTGAGTGAAGTTTGAAATTATCATCCTGGATGATAGCAGTGATATTCAACCATTTTGAAGAGCTTGCAACCAAATGACGTCATAAATTAGTGGACATTTTCGCACTCTTTTACATATGAAACAAATTGAAATATCTCGGTAACAAACCATAAAAACAAGAAACTGAAAAATAAGTTACACTACAGCTTAAAGAGTTCTTTCATTTAAGAAAATAAGAAATTTCATGTCATATGCACTTTAAAGAGTGCTCTGAAATAGCTAGAAGAGAAGTTTTGTATAATCTACTTTTGAATGATTGAATTCAGTTTAGTGTGAGGCCCGATAAAAACACAATCCAACGGCGAATCTAAGGCGCAATATGTGGCTAACCTTGAGATAATAAAATTAACATTTAGATATAGATCCATTGGCATGAATTGACAAGGCATTTTGTGTTCGACAAATACTGCACCAGAATTTTGTGATGAAATAGACAAATTTAGTCCAGTTTGGTTGGTTTGAAAATCGGAATGCAAAGCAAGCGTGTGAATTCATAGCACATACTTACGCGCCGATTACCGATTCACGTAAGAATATGTGCACATTGATACATGGAATGATGTCAACAGACGCTTTTTGATTTCGTGTTTAGCTTCTCGATCATGTTATTATAATTCCCACAGCGGCGATTTCATTTAATAGTTATAACTTCATCGGTGCTTGAGCCAACGTATTCCAGTCCTTTGTCGACCGGTGTCCGGTTGTATAAAAAAGTGATTAAAGTTAACCTATAATTAAGAGCCAACGTCATCCAATAAGAAGCGCGTATTTGAGCGTTAATCACTATTTAACTGCAAAATAGTGATTTAAATAATGATTAAGAGTTTTATACAACCGGCCCCAGAAGAAAAGCGCTTAATTGCCCGGCAGACTTCTATTTGAATAAACTGGCTCTCCTGCACTGAATCATACTGAGTCACTGACCGTTGTTTTATATCCAGAAAATATCAATTCCAGCGTTCATAACTCTTCTCTGTTACACTGTTTTAATTCATGCGCCGTCCGTAATTCTTTACCGCAAAATTTCAAATTTTCAAAAAGTCAAATTTTAAATACTTTATTGGTGACAAGACATTGTTCATGGATTGTATATTTGTAAAAGTGAAAGCCCTTATCACATCGACCTTTGCATTGCATAAGTATTTAATTACACTGACCTGAAAGGTCAAGTGTCTTAAATCCCTAAATATATATTTTTTCCTGTTTTTTTCGTCGTCGAGAAATCGAGTTTGCGTTAGCGGATCGCAGGCTCAGTATCCAGTGTTACAGTTATTTTAGTTTATTTTACAGATCAGTTTTCAAGATGGCGGCCATTCAACAAGTGACTATTTCAGTCTCCAACAATTTATTCATTTGTCAACGAATTTAACGCGTTTTTCTGTGCATTTTAATTGGATTAATCCTTCTCTGCACGTTCTTGGAATTAAGTTTACGGGGGGGGGGGTTCGTGCAACGTCTCTGAAAATGCAATATCTCGTTTGCAGAGTTTTTCGAATTTTATACGTTTAATATACGGACTCACGGAATGCAAACAATGTTGTCTGCGTTAGCGCATCGCATGCTCAGAGACCATGTACATTTATGGATAACGTTTGTATTTATGAGTAATACTTTTGTTTCATTGGGCATTACGAAAACCTGACACCACGCTTTTATAGCCTTTCAGGCTTTGCGTTTGCGGTTCACGGTTTGTATTCCTGTCTATTGCACCATAGCACCTGTATCGTCATTCTCACGTCAGTGTGAACGTCTGAGCAGGCGTCTTGTTCATTATAGACAACTAAAAACTTCATTCATTTAATTTAAACTTCAAGTATTGTAAGTTGTTCAGCAAAATATGTTTATTCCGTTCCTCAAGAATTCTCTTACCTTGGAATAATTTTGCGGATATTTCCCCCATATCATGACTTGTGAGTGCTCGATCTACATGCGCAAGGACGTTCTTGTTTAGTTCGTACTGTTCAGTTTGTTCCCTTGATATCGAAATTTCGGTTCAGCGACCTTTGGAACTGCTGTGGAATTTGACACTTTCAACTTCACCGTAAAAATCTCCGTTTGCAAACGCAACAGATCCTGCGCTGTTTTCTGCTGGTTCTCGAGAATCTTTTTGGCCCACGCCGGTGGCTCTTCTGACCTACTTCGAGCCCTTTCTACGCTAGTGTCCTTCGAGCGAGAACTATGCCTTCGACTACTGCCACGTTCCTTGTTACGGCTCTCGCTACAGCGAGAACTAATCTAGCTACGGCGAGAACTAGTGTGGCTATATGCCTATGCCTACTTCTGTCGTGTAACCGAGAATCTCGTCGACTCCCTGGCCCTCGCGAGTTTGAACGACTTCTGCCGCCGTCAGTGAGGCTTTTTTTAAAATTGAGAGTCATCCGTGCTCACTCTGAGATTCGAACTCGTGACCCTCAGCATACACGCTGAGTGTTGTTCCCCTGCGCCACCACGTGACTATATCCCAAGACTAGTAGTTTTAAGCACATAATGACATTATTATTCATTCCACTGTAACTGCTTTAGTAGGAATCACTGACAGGCTATTTCATAATATTGATATTGGTGAGCTGAATGGAGTCGTCATTCTTGATCTCAAGAAGGCGTCCGACACAGTTAATCACCAAATACTATTAAATAAACTTAACTGTTACCGTATAACCGGAACTGTCCAGAAATGGTTTGCATCATACTTATCCAATCGCTCACAGTATTGCCAGGTAAATGGCGGTATTTCCAAACAGTCAAGCATGATTAGGGGAATACCACAGGGGTAAATTCTTGGTCCCCTGTTATTCCTACTGTATATAAATGACCTCCCTAATGGCTTAAATAGTGTTAAGTGTACCATGTTTGCTGATGATACCCAAATTGAGACATCTGGCAAGGACATAAATACAGTTACAAACGCACTAAATAATGACCTAAAAAATTAATCTGACTGGCTGGCCGTAAACAAACTCAGTTTAAATACTAAGAAAACTGAATATATGATTATAGGATCTTATCAAAGGCTAATTAAATTTAATAGAAACAGATCCTCCAATCTATCTCGGCACAGAAAAAATCAAACGAGTTAAAACGTTTAAGGCATTGGGTCTAATGTTAGATGAGATGCTAAGTTGAAATGAACAGGTTAACGCAATAACAACTGAAGTAAATAGAGGTTTGAATGTTCTAAAAAAGTTAAGAGAATTCGAAGACCTTGAAACTTTACTAATTGCTTATAAAACATTAGTGCAACCTTATTTTGATTATTGTTTACAGGTATGGGACGGCCTCTGCTCCAAACTTTCTGATAAACTGCAGCGTTACAAAACAGAGCTAGCTGCGCACATGCATTAACACTAAGTGTGGATATGATGTCCGCTCCTGTGTTCTTCTACAACACCTATAATCCTTGACAATCTGGAGACTCGTAGGAACCAACAACATATACACTAATGTTCCCAGTTAGATATTCAATGGTTCCTCGCTCCATATCAAATTTATTTCAAAGAACCGATGACGTACACAATTATGAAACGAGACAGGTGCAAAATTATTTTCCACCTAAACCAAACACTAATTTCAAGAAAAAAATAATTTAGTTACAGGGGTGCGATGGCTTGGAATAGTTTACCTTGTGATCTTAAAAGATCTCAAACCGTCCAATGTTTCAAAAATAAGCTTTAATTAGCCTTTCTCACGCCGCCATTTTTGGGTGGCATTTCAGACGAAGTCTGCGAGATAAGTCCACATAACAGCGACTTTTTGTAATTTTGTGGACAAAATATGGTGTATTTGCTTCGTAAACGGTTACTTTATTTCGAAAATTTGCTTTTCTCATTGTTACAATTGTCTGCATTGGTTAACAAGAATTGGGTGCCACCCAAAAATGGCGGATATTCGTCATCGTGAGAAAGGCTAATCGCAACGAAAGTAATAATAATTTATATATATACGGCCTATTAGAAGATCACTCATTTTGTTTTCTCTCTGTATATATTTAGTTAGTTTATATTGTAAAATAGCTCCGTATATTGAAATAAAGTTGCAAAATAATAATAATAATTATACATAGGCTACCCTCTTATGTACAACATGTAAATACTTCGCGCATTGAATGGGGCATAAGGAAGGAGCGGGGCTTCGAAAATAGACCTTGGAGGTGGACCATGAAATATTAATGGGAGTAGAAGATGGACAATTTAACACTACAGTTGGAAAATACTTTAATAATAACTCATCCATTATGTTTTCCAGGTATTGTCAACCTCACGCCAACTTCTTGTTCAGCTTTGTTAATAAGAGATCCTTCAACTCGCAGTGGAATGTATTACATTAATCCCCAAGGGCTAAGTTCATCGCCATTCGTTCAAGTGTACTGTAACATGACTTCGACGGAAGGTGTTGGTGTGACAGAGATTGGGCACGACAATGAATCGCGCACACTCGTGGTCGGATATGAAGGAGCGGGTTCTTACAAACGGAGCATCAAATATGTTATTTCTATGGAACATATTATTGCAATTATGAATCTGTCCAAGAATTGTGAGCAGCTTATAAAATATGAATGTCATGGAAGCTTCATTCGAAACGGCGGTTGGTGGGTGTCGCGTCAAGGTTCGAAGATGAATTACTGGGGTGGAGCCGCAGTCAACAGCGGAAAATGTGCATGTGGAATGGCCGACACCTGCGCTGGTGGGGGAAAATGTAATTGTGACGCCAATGACTACACATGGCGTGAAGATAGTGGGTACCTGACAGACAAGAATACGCTTCCTGTTACTGAGCTGAGATTTTGTGATACTGGTGACAAAAGAGAGAAAGGATACCATACATTGGGAAAACTGCGATGTTGGGGTTAGGATGAAGGAGAGGACAATCAAGTTTAGTGCACACCCTGAACATTATTACATAATAACATATATGATAGTAATATATAGAATGTACCTTTGATAAGAGTAAATAATCAGAAAGAACTAGTAGAACTTCACGATGTAAAAAGTAAATATCGATAACCATATGCGCACTGTGGGTGGTTACTCACTTTAAATATTTCTTGTATTCTTGGTACTGTTTTTAACAAGTTGTTATTGCTTCATTGATCGTGAGAGTTCGCTATGTTTTAAAGGCTGTCCAAAAGGATGCAAAATTGTTTGCCTAACACAATTCAAATATGGGCCGTTTGTTTCGGCTACGTTATATCCAGATAAATATCTGTGTATAAAACAACTTATCATACTCTAAGATGTGACCTCGTCTGCATAATAGAACGTATATGCCTTGTAGATGAATGGACTAAAGATCTGTGTGTAAAAGCACACGGTCAGGAAAAACGACGATTTATTACTCGTAATAGACACTTCCCGAATTTGCTTGAGTGCACACGAAACAATAGCTTGGAATCGAGGCGGACAATGTAATCCATTGGAAAACTATACTTATTTCCAATGGATTACATTGTCCGCCTCGATTCCAAGCTATTGTTTCGTGTGCACTCAAGAAAATTCGGGAAGTGTCTATTGGCGGATATTCACTGCAAATACTAAATAGTATTGTGTGTTTCAGCCGAAATCCCAGCCACTGTAAATCTTCAGTCTGCCTAGATAGTTCGTTTTAAAATGGGTAATAGGTCTACACCGATCATTCATCTCGTGTATAAATCTGGCTAATTTATTCTAAAAACTTGTCTATGTCGAACCTGCATACGATAAAGTTTTCATTACTCAACCACATATAAGTTTCTATTAGTATACATGAAGGGGGATCTGTGACGAGTGAAAAAATAGAGATCTACGTAATCTGAACGTAATTTTTACGTGATCTGATTTCATCTTGGTCAGATTTTATGGAGTGAGTAGTAGAACTCTACTCATGACGTCACCAGCAGGGCCGATGGGTAGAGCAGCGGTCTAGAAACAGGAAATACGAGTAAGAGACCAGATGGAGACGATTATTTGTGGTATTCTGCAAGTTAGAACAATCCAGATACGGTGAATGTTTTTATAAGGCGAATTTACTACGTTTCCTGTACGATAAAGCAAATTCGTTATAAGTTAAGAATCGTCAGTTAAAGGATTACAAGCGAAACATAATACAAAACGCGAATGCTACACTCTAAAAAATAGATGTGTTGGAATAACACAACTTTTCTGTCCAGAAAACAACACATCTTTAGCTGTGTTTAAATAGCACACATTGTGTGTTACGGTAACCCACCAAAAGGTGTGTTTTATGCTTGTCCAGAAAAAAACACGCTTTAAGCCGTGTTACTCCAAAAGGTGCGTTAGGAGACACGCTTAGGTGTGTTATTAGTAATCCGATGTGTGTTAAGACAGCACAACTTAAAGGTGTGTTGCTTTAGCACGTTTAGGCGTGTTCTGCATGTGCTGAAACAGCACGCCTTTACGTGTGCTAAAACAACACGCATTATAGGTGTGCTAAAGCAACACGCCTTCACGTGTGCTGAAACAACACGCCTTTTGGGTGTGCTGAAACAGCACGCCTTCGGTTATGGCATGCTAAAACAACAGGCCTTCTTGAGTATTAAATTACACGAACACGTATTTTGTATTATATGGTCAAAAAAAATTTTAATTCGAATGTACACAATATCAATATGAAAACGGCCTTGTAAGGTCTGCTGTGCAATACATTAAAATATTCTACATTAGAACATGCAAATATAACAAATGAATGCAAATTGTTCATATCAGACGTTTTCATACAGTTATTAATATGGCAGTAAAATACAACGCCATATTTGCGAGATTAACATCCATTATAATCGCACTAGTCTAGGCTTCAGTCTTTTCTTCATTAAGACATTTTCATCTACACATCTATCTTAAATAAACTCCAGTTCCAAATGGGATAAATATTGTTGCAATCAGATAAAGTAAGCAATTTGTAATAGAAATGTCCAATTAGGCTATTTGCCATAAACATATCAAATATAGAGTGAGGATAGTTGGCATCAAATACATCAATAACAATCTGCATGATATAAGGTTAACCAGGGCTTCCAAGAGATTTGTTGTTGTCGCAAGGATAGACTTATCTTTCTCCAAACAAATGCTTTAAAGCTAGCATCTTCTGGTGTGGTGGTTACTACAAGTTTAAATTCTACCATCTTGACTTTAAACAATACGTCAACCTTTGGCGTGAGGAGATTGCTAAGTATAAAAACATAATTCAATAAATTACCAAGCCAAGGGGAAAGTGCTCGTGGGCTGTAAGGGTGTGGGTGTATTAAATGTTCACAATTGCACTTTATTTAGCTTAAACAAAAACAATCAAAATATTTGAATTTGAAATGAAAGTTGCTGCATAACAGTATTTCTGTGTCAAATGAATCATGCATTTGTACATAGCGGCAAGAAATACAGTAGCTCATCCCACCATAACATCACAACCACACATACAGTTTCCAGCCTTACAATTAAAATGCAATTGAAATAGATGCGACAAGTCTTTAACCTGACAAAATGCAGGAATTGTATCAAATGCTCGATACTTGATTATATGGCAAATAGGCAATTTATATATTTTTAGTTTGGATTGTTTCCAATAAGTTTGTACATTATAATATTAATACAGTACCAAACATTTCACTTGAAAA